CAGAAGTTCCGGGTAGAAAAAAATGGGGCTGAATGGGCATGAATCATGATACAAAACTGGTCTGTTGTTACCTGATGATAACGTTACACTTTTAAACACAAAACTGAATGACAAACAGTTCATGAAAGCGGTAAATAAACTGTAATTTATTTATATCTGATGTACTACTTTTGAAGCAGGTGTCAGGATGACACCCTAACATTCAGAAATGCACTGGGGCACTACCCTCAACGGACCTGGCACAGAATATCACTATCTGAGCAAGAAGCTCATAAACATGTCTTCACTGAATTATACTTTAAATTGAAACACTTCCAGATAATGGTTCTTTTCTAAACGTTGCTACTAGAGCGGTATAGAAGAAACAGCACACAGTCAGCAGTCAGCAAACACACTGCTCAAATTCTTCATGCCACTATATGGCTTCTACACTCTCACAATTTCGTCAGCAGTGAACCTCAGAATGCTATTCACCCATGCAAGGGGCAACATACTGCCAGGATATCAGAAAGATATGACTGACCTGGTCAAACTTCTGTCTCAGGCTTTTAAATCCCTTACTGTCCGCACTTCACATTTCTAACTCAGTTTACTTCAGTTATCGATCAATGAAACCTTTTGAAAAAGTTCCCCAATTTCCCTTCTTATGAAAGAAACTCTGTCACAACAGAGACTGTATTTTTTTTATTGCTAGTGGGGTGGGACTATGTCCCTTGTACTGTGGCCACTTCTGGCCTATTGTACCATCCCCAGATGATAGGCGAGGGTGATTGTGGAGCAATTGGTGGAATGAAGATTGGCAGGGGAACCGAAGTACTCGGAGAAAACCTGCCCCAGCGCCACTTTGTCCAGTACAAATCCCACTTGACCAGACTCGGGATCGAACCCGGGCCGCCGCAGTGGGAAGCCAGCGACTAACCACTTGAGCTATGGCACAACAGAGACTGTAACAGAGATTACTAAAATTCACAAGAGACCAAATAAAGTTGTGCCCAGATGTTAGGTGAGAAAAACTCATGTTTCAGGAACCAAACCCGAATGCATTTTAAGAAGAATCTGAGGTTCTCACAGCAATGACTATGAAGATTACTGTTCTCTGCGATATGATACCGCGAGGTACGGCTGATGGGTACCAACATTTTGGAGGAACCTCCTGCTCTCATCTTCAGAATGAAAGATGGAGACAGCAGATCCTTCTGAAACACTGGTATCCGTACATCTGTCAAAATACAAGGCGTGATAATCTTCAGATTTTAAGAACTCCTTACATAGCTTGACGATTTGCTCTAAGTGGGACAACTGTACTGGAATAGTGACTCAGCAACTTAATTAATTCAAGTATTTGGGCAATGTGTTTGCTCGTTTTACAAATGCGAAAGCAGCTCACCTATGCTGGCAGACTATTGCATGCATGCATGAACAATGTCTAAAAGCAGTGCTCCACCAGGGCACGTGCAGTGTGAAGAAGATACGGAGAGAAAAAGTAAGTCTTCTTTGCCATGATCCAAAATACTTGTCTGAACGTCCTTTAGAAGGACCCGATATTTCCCCACATCTTACAGCAGAAAATATTCTTACAAGCCTCCCCACCACACTGCACTCTGTATGTCTTAAAATATATCTCTCATAATTACCTACAAAGCTGATTAAAAAGTGTTCATATAAATGAGCTCAACATAAAAGCTAGTTCACTTATTCGGCAAAATTTTTCAAAAACACGAAAAATAAAACTGTATCTTATAGAAAATATTTATCTCATTTGTTTGGATGCTCTTATTTTGTGCGTATTTTGGATCCAATGACATCTTAATAAGGGGACTATAAAACTTCATTTCACCAAAGAAAAAATTGTGAACGCAAATTCACATTTTATCATTACATGTCTCAATACAACAAGCAGTTCAACAACGTACATGGCATGCCTAGAGGCGTCCTTCCTTTCGTTCTGTGTATGCAACTTCACAACTGCACTGAATGGCTGGCACATGCAAGGACACTACATAGTAACTACCGCTGAGGGTGTGAATGAGACATGTGGGGGTGTGGTGGGGGGTAGCCCGTATGAGGGGGCAGTGGCGATGGGCAGGATACGTGTGGGGGTTGTTGGTAACCACTTCCCATCATGGGGCCTGGACTGGAACAGGGGATGAGATGTGAGGGTGGTGACTGGGTATGAGGGTGGGGAGGGGCCATCATGTGGTGCTGGTGGGGGGAGCCAGGGTGTTGCTGGAAGTGCTGGGTGTGCGGATGTTGCTGCGGCGGGCCACCCCCCATGTGTTGGGAATGTGGCGAGTACACTAGCTGTCTTACTTTCTGCTCGTCGTCTCCGATGTTGTACGTGAGTTCCGTCTCTTCGAACCCCGTCGCTGACATACGCTGGTCACCACCGACACCAGACGGAGGGGGGTCTGGAGAATTCAGGCACGTCTGGATGAGGGCTTTGCCTGCCTCCGACGTGATCATCGGCTGCAGCTTGCGTGTTGCAAACGTGTATACGTGGCCGGTTTCCGAGGCAACTAGCAGCATCACCTGAGTGCCCGTCAGAGTGGACAGCTCGTATGCCTGCCAACAGTAAGACCTCACTGTTTATTCTCATTTATGGCTGCCTATATAGCATCGAACGGGAGGACAAATCGTTTGTGGTTTGTTTTACGGCGCTGTCTGTATTTTCCTCTATTCCTAGCTTCTTGGTACTTGGCGTAAATGGTCCAATTTACCAGCCCCGGATCGTGAAACAGAGCATCTGTTGAAATGAGAATTGGCAAAAGAAACGGAAGTACATACCGGGAGAAAACCTGCTCCAGTGTCAATTCGTTCGCCTTAAATCCAACACGAACCCACCCAGGACTGAACCACGACGCCATGGTGAAACGCCGATCATGATACTGCCAATTGTGGCAGTAAGTAACCAGCTGCTCCACAATCACCCTCACCTATCATCTGGGGCTGGTACAATAGGCCAGAAGTGGCCGCAGCTCAAGGGACTTAGTCTCACCCCACTAGCATTAAAAAAAAAAAAAGCAGCACGTTGAATGACTGAATCATTTAATGATCTGAAAAGAATGTGAAAGGAAACGGCTATGGCCTAACATGAGGCATTATCCCAGAATATTCGTGGAGGGACTGAAGAAAGTAAAAAATAAATAAATAATAAAAAAACAAATAAAGTCAGCACTTGATTTGTTGGGCGAAATTCGATCGGGTATCCCCCAGACACGCGTCACAAGCTTCACACGTTCACTCTCCATAACCGACGGCTCACCAACACAAGTTGAGGGTCAGGGCCGGCGCAACAACATAAATACAACCATGCCGCCAATGGAAAACACACTGCACCTATACAAATACAAGAAAATTAACCTAAAGGAGTCTATATCCGCTGAAAATAAAACGACACAAGAACTTTATGATTACAAGCCTTTATCACGTAACGTCATGAAGCCAGTACACCTGAAATGAGACAACTTATAAATAATAAAGAAATAAGATGTGGAAATAAATGTGTCGCAACCTAATTTAAGCTGCCATTCCGGCATTTCTTCGAGGGGCGAGGAAAAACGACATAAACGTCTCGAGTACATGGTACGTGCGGCAATGAGTAGCAATCTCTCTTCATCTGGGGCGAGTCACACATCACCGTCATCTGTGAGCCGAATGTCTACAGCCTCCACGGCCCCTTCCAGGATAGCTTTACCTTTTCCCCACACATACAGACATTCGTATTACGAACGCTTCTCGGGTTCAACACCCCTCACCCGAAACGTCAGGGTAAACTGCTCAAACCGAACTGAACTGAGAAGGAAGTATTTGGCAAGCGGATATACTCCGACACTGGCAAAGGTTGTGATTGAAGAGTACAGTCTTGTGGGTTGTAACGCCTTGTAGTTCGGAGGTACCCACTGCCTCCATCTTCAGGGTCGAAGAGTGAGCCAGGAGAGAAACCAGAAGACGACGGGATTCCAATAAAATGCTTCTTCACCGACGGGTTTTAGGGTTTCACTGCAGTGAAGATTCATACTGTGGATTCGTTAGCTAATGACACCGTGCAGTCTGGCAGGTGGGTATCAACGTTTCGGAGAAATCCATCTTAAGGGCTGAAGTCAGTATGGAGGCACCAGCCTAAACCGTGTCATAACCCAAAAGACCAAAATACCAATATCAAATGTTACTGGCAAAACCGGCCAACAGAAGACTTATTTTTAAGTTTATTTTTCTAACGACGCACTCAGTATAGAAACTACATAGCGTCGTTGATAGAATGATTAATGAATGTGGAGCTGTTTGTGGAATGAGAATTGGCAAAGGAAACCAAAGTATTCGGAGAAGTGGCCCCTATGCTACTTTGTCCACCATAAATCCCATACGACCTGACCTGAGATCGGGAAAAAGAAAAAATAATTTTGAGATGAGTCCCTCAATCAAACACCCTTCTTTACCAACAATACATCAAACGTGAGGAATCGCCCTTTGCAGCCTTCCCGTGGCTGTTTATTAAAACAAATTTGTTTTGACACTGTTTATTTACAGTATAATACTAAAATCTATAAGAATATGCTACAGGGCCCAATGATTTTTCACTGTGAACACAGTAACGAAACTTCGGGTTCTATAAATACAGCTTAACTTCTTAACGCAGAGTGGTTACTATACTTACCACTTGCACTAACACTAAGAAACTGAATTCTGCCCACAAGTGCATTTGTGTTTCACACAATTCTCCGAATAAACGGCGACTACATTGCTAAACAGAAACCGAAAAGTCTTTGCGGTAGAGACGAAATCTGTTTTCTTTGAGGTAAGAACTGGGTTTTATATGTAAGTTTCGTAACGGCAAGTGAAAGTCCCGAAATTCCACAATTTCGGGTTACATTAGTAACTAACTGTTGTGCGTTAACAGGTTCTATGAATGTGAATTATGTAGGTCACGAAAGAGCGACCAGTCTTTGTTTCTGCCTATCATTCCGTTCTACGAGTACTGACTATATTTCGATGTGGATCAGCGAAGTGTAGTTAGCATTTATGACGGAAAGTTTATACAGATCTGGAAGGTTTGTTTCATTTTCAAAACCTACAAGTACAAGCTGTCCACACAGACCAGATCAGTAAAGTCGTGTTGAGACCTCTATTTCAAACGAACTGGTTAACTCTAGTAGATATCTGGTAGGTTTACGTGGGAAATACGCTGATAATGCCCATATACCTCCTATGAGATACATCTAAGACAAATTTGAGGAAACTCTCCCTACATAACATCCACACGCGAAATAACGGAAAGAAACACATCACCACAAAAATATACCAGTCTACAACATATGCTATGCATAAATCAAATTTAAATCATAAAATTCGACATGAGGTATGACAATGTACGAACGAACAGCAATGTCTCGAACAACTGTAATGTAAACAGGCTCAAACATGAAGAAAGCAGTCTTCTGGGATTTGGCACCGTGTATATGTGGTGTTAACCGACGTTTCGGAGGAACGTATCGCCCCCATTCAGGGTAGAAGGAAAAATATAAGAAATCCGCAAGATTGGTCTGCTTTTACCGGTTCTCACGGTCTCTTCGCTTGCGGATTTCTTATATTTTTCCTTCTACCCTGAAGATGGAGGCGATACGTTCCTCCGAAACGTCGGTTAACACCACATATACACGGTGCCAAATCCCAGAAGACTGCTTTCTTCATAGTCACCGCCGTGAAAGCCTCAAATCTTACATAGGCTCAAACATGTTGTGCAATAAATGTGTTAAATAAAGACGCACAACTTCAAACAACTGAGAGTGTTTTTAAAAATTTCAAGTTTTGAATTTTAAAACTTTGAGTGTGAGTTGCACGTGAGACGGTAGTGAATATATAAAATAAGTATCAGTATATGCTCCTGGTACTACCCAGCGGATTCAGCAACAAAATAACACGATCGTCTGCGATGTACATGTACGCCTGATGACATTAGTAACCTCGGTTGCATACCAGTTAGGAAATAAACGGTAAAATATTAGATTCTAGAGGGCTCTGACGACGGTGTATAACACTCAGAATTACTGAGTTTTTGGACTTTGTCCATCTGCCGGTATTCTAGAGACTAGAAAACACGACATTCCGGAAACTGGATCTGTCTCCGTTTTTACGTGATTCTGGAGACACCTACTCTGATGGTCCCTTAGAAAGAACTGACCAGTGATTGAGGTTAGTTCTTTCTGAGGGACCAAACAGAACAGGTGTCTGCACTCTCACATGAAGACGGAAACAGATCCAGTTTCCGAAACGCTGTGTTCTCCAGTTTTTGGAATATCGGACGATGGACAAAGTAATATATTAGATATGAGTTGGAAATCTACTCGGAAATGTATCTTCATAGAAGGCCTATACAGCAAGGGGGGGGGGGTCTACGCATTTTTAATTTGTCCGAGAAGATTGCTAAGGACTTCTTCCCTGACGCCGACATCGCTACTTTCTGAGCATAAATTGGTTTTATTACCCCAATATGTAGAATCAATTTCAAATATTCTACTTCCTGAAACTTTATTAGTGACGTAGTGCCCGTAAGTTAGTTCTGAAACTCAACGATGTTACAGCCTGAACACGGTCCTTCATTACACCAAAACCTGTAAACTTTGCCGTTTCTTCTAAATAATTTGATTCTACTTTTGATTTGAATTTCTTTTAATAAGCACTAGTCTTCTCTAGAACCACATAACCTATTACAAATAAGATTCCTGTATTAATGCTTTCAGAGTACCGTTGACTTAAAGGGGCTGTTCTCTAGTGTTATTTAAATTAACTTAGGCTTCTGCGGTTAATAACTATGAGCTCGGCAAGCCGAATCGTGTACCATCGGATGAGAACGATCCCAAAATCGGAAGATTATGCAGAACTGCCAAATTATACTTCTTGGCCAATTAAATTTTCTTCATTTTTTTTTGAATACACAATGTAGCTATGTCAGATTTTGTGAACAAGGTGATGAACCTTCATGTGCTCAAACATAGCTAATTCTTCGCCAGCTGAATAGCGCAGAACCGCTCAGTAACGACTCTGTACCAGATACAACTTTGACCCGACACAGCTTTCCAGGGACAATGCAGTGGCATTTTGTGAATCGCTTTCCAAGGATCGGATTCTTGGTCAACTGAATAATTATCAACGGTTCACTGACGCTGTCTTACCATCGAACATTGCGGTCATGGGGTTAGCACTACTGCTTCGTATTCGGGAGGCCCTCGGTTCAAATCTCGGTCCAGAGGTCGCCTATCCTGACTGAGGTTTCCCTCAATCACTGCTCTATGACGTTTCCTTCCACATCCTTTCTAATTCAATATACAACTATCATGGTAACTTTCGACGCTCCACTGGCCCGGGCTACTAACGTCATTAAAGGAAAGAGAGTGTTATATAAACCGTACATAAGCTACCAAAATTACTGTTTTCTGGTATGTTACGCCATATAGCGTGGTAGACATTTAGCAACGTTTCGGGAGAATGTGTCACTTCTATCGTCAGGGTATCCTGTTAGAATGATAGTGAAGCCAGCGGCTTCCTCTGAAATGCTGGTAAATGTC